AACGGCGGGTGTGCCGAAATGAACGGAGGGAGAAGGGCATGCGCCCCCGCCAGCTGAATGCACAACTGGCTGGAACTGGCAAGAAACGTGTGAGATGTGGGCAAGAATCTGCGTTGGGCTGCAGGCGCCTACGCCCACTGAGGCCCTGTAGGTGGAACTCCAATCGGAGAGCCAAGAGTGTGAGGGGTGTGACGAGATGGGCGCGCGGTGGGCCGCGCCCACATCCACTGTCGCCGAACGTGGAAGTTCCATGGGGACACGAAGAAAGAGGACGGGGGCACGGAGCGTGAGAGGCTGTGCCGACATGGGCACGCCAATATAAGTCAGAGGGTCATAGCAGAAGGAGCAGGAGGAGGCGGAGGAGGAGGACGAGGATCATGACGGTGCTTGGGATTGCACTCTGATAGGGCGCCGTGAACGTCGACGGAGCGATGATGGTGATGATGAGATGGTGCTGATTACATTTTCCGCTTGCACCTCGAAGACCAGCTCAGCGGTGTGTGCATCCTGCTCCTCCAAGCCCTCCTCGTGGACCTAAACGGTGAGGCTTCGGGTTGCGCAGCGACAGGCCCCACGAGGCAGCCCCCGCTGGCCACGCGAGGCTCCCCGTCCAGGGCGGACTCACCACCTCACCCCTGGGGTGCAGAGCGCCGTGGGGCGTCGAGACCGCGTCGGATTACAAGGGGCCTGCTGAGGCCAGCGGCACGTTCCCTTGCTCCTATGTGTCTTCTCTCTCTGCATCCCCCTTATGTCATCCTCCTCCTCCTCCTCCTCCTCCTCCGTCAGCTGGCTCTTGGTTGCCCGAAGAAGGAGGAGCCTGGAGCTCGGAAGACTGCCTGGCCTTACCTCTGCAAAGGCAGGCGCCCCCAGCAGAGAGAGGAATGCAAGGCTCCTCCCCTGGCCCTGGAGGGCACGTAGCGGTTTGATTGGTCCCCACTCCTCCTGAGATAGGTGCCTCTCTCTTGGGGCTGGCCCCCTCTCCTCCTCCTCCTCCTCTTCCTCCTCCTCTTCTTCCTCCTCCTCCTCACTCCTCTTCATCCTCCTCTTCCTCCTCTTCATCCTCCTCATCCTCTGGAGAAGCCAACAAATATCGATCCCGCTACTCCGCGGAACTCTCCCAAGGTGCGTTCTTGGCTAGAATATCGAAGCGAATCCAGCGGTGGTGACGAGGGCCTCCAAGGAGGCCCCCCAAAGGCGAGAACGAGTCGAGGGTATCTGTATAAATACCCTTTTCCTCCTCCTCCTCCTCCTCCTCCTCCTCCATCATTCCTCTTCCTTATGAACAAATCCTCCCTGTCGCATCCCGAGACCCGTTGAAAGGACGGGCCGGGCGTTTCGCCTAAGACTTTCTCGCCGCTTATGATCCTGAAGCTTAAGCAACATATTCACGGATGGAAGGCGGGTCGCTTTCAAAAAGTGGCTTTCGCCTGAGCGCCGCGCACATGTGCCTGAAAGTTCGCAAGGGTTTCACGCATAGAGGGCGGTTGGTTTTCAAAATGTGGCTCTCGCCTTAGCGCTACCCGCACTCGTTTTAAACAATTGCGACAGTGTCACGGGTGAATGGCGGGTCGTTGTCAAAATGTGGCTCTCGCCTCAGCGCCACGGGCTTTCGTTTCTCATTACAATGCAAGGTTTCACGGATGGAGGGCGGCTCGTTTCCAAAATGTAGTTTGCGTCTTAGCGCCGCGCATCTTCATCTCAAGACTTTGCAGCAGTTTCAAATATTCTCATTGTTCTCGTGCCAAAAGCAATGTCTCGGCACGATGTCGGCAGGTCAGGGCGCAACAGTCACGTTGATACGTGGTGTTGAAATCCGAGGAATGGTGTTATGCCGCAGTTCCGGATTTGCAGACGATTGCCATCCAACGGGGCACTTCCTCAGTGAGGAATAAACCTCGTATGGGGCCGATGAAGAGGGAACTTGGAGGGAGGGTTGTTGTCATGTCGTTGATGGATCTCTTGGGTTTGCACTGGTCCTCCTGCTCCTCCTCCTGGGATACCTTCTGGGATACCTGCTCCTTCTCCTCCTGCTCCTCCTCCTCCTGCTCCTCTTGTTCCTCCTCCTCCTCCTCCTGCTCCTCCTCCTCCTCCTGCTCCTCCTCCTCCTCCTCCTGCTCCTCCTCCTCCTGCTCCTCCTCCTCCTCCTCCTCCTGCTCCTGCTCCTCCTCCTCCTCCGTTTACTGCTCCTCCTCCTCCTCCTGGGCTACCTCCAGAGGAGGGCGGTCCGCGCGCAGCCCTGGGCCCCGCCAGACCTCGGCGTCCTGCTCGGCCGGCCCGGGCTCCTCCCGCGAGGCGGGCCGCGGCTCCCCGTGGCCGTCCCCTCGGGGCCGGGGGCTGCAGGCACCCCGGGCCCGCGCACGCGGTGCTTCGAGGGCCACGTCCTCCGGTCGCCAGTCGTGCTCCTCGAGGCCGTGGGGCAGACATGTTCACGTCTTGTGGAGCAAAAGCAAGGCGATTTGGTTTCGTCATGCTCGGCCTCTGCGGGCCCTCAGTGGGCCCCGGGATCATCACAACACGACTCAGGATGAAACGTCGGTTCCGGTGGAAGGGTCGGGACTTCCAGGGACCGCGCATTGAAAAAACAAGCGCGTCGGGTCCGTGCATGCTGCGCCTTTAAAAAGGCCCAGGGAGACACAAATCAATCAACACCGACCCCAGGATCCGTCACAGTTTTGAAAATTTGTAATGGATGTTTCATCTTCATCTCAATCTTCCTCATCTGTTCCCACCTTGATGGTGTCAGTGTCTGATTTCTCTTGGGCGTGAATTAATGGGAGGCGATGATTGAAGGGGATAATGGTGCACTTCTGGGGCCCTACAGCCCTCCTTCTGGGCCACAGAGGGCCCCATTCTGCAGCCCCCAGTGGCCCCTCCTCTATCGCCCCCTATTACGCGAGGCCCTTTTCTGCAGCCTGGAAGGATGGCAACATAGTTGCCCGACCCTCCATTGCATTCCGCCTGCACGCGCTTCCCTCGACTTCCGCAATAGAGTTGCGGACAGTTCGGGACGTCTCGCCGACACCGACGAGGTGAGCGTCGGATCGAAGGACTGCTTGACACGGTCGGCTACAGTAGAAGCCTCGTAGATGGGTTCCGAATAGAGGTGGTCGAAGGATCGTGCCGCATCGCCAATGCATCGCCGATGTATCGGCGATGCGTTGGCGATGTATCGGCGACGTCGGCGATGCATCGGCGTCGGCGACGTCGGCGTTGGAAAACACGGGCTCCACATCGAGCCGCATCGTCGATGCATCGGCGGTGCGGCGCGATCCTCCGACCCCATCTACTCGGACCCCCTCTAGGGGGGCTAGACATACCCGCGTGCGGATAAGGTGAGGGCGATGCGTCATCGGCCTCTTCCCTCAAGACCTCCAGGCACCCGCCCTGCGCCCTGAGGTCAAGAAGCCCCTCCTCGAGGTGCTGCGCCCCCGCGCGCTCTCCCGCGTGCTCCTGCGCGCGCGCCGGAGCGGGGGGGCGGGAAGGAGGGGGAGATAAGAAGGGAAGGAGGAGGAGGAGGAGGAGGAGGAGGAGGAGGAGGAGGAGGAGCAGGAGGAGCAGGAGGAGGAGCAGGAGGAAGAGGAGGAGGAGTATGAAAGAGGAAGAGTCGGAGAGGAGGAAGAAGTGGAGAAGGAGGAAGATCCGGCAGGTACGATCAGCCCGGGCCATTGTCCACGAATCTGCAGAAGCTAAGCAACAGCCGGGTGAATGCCTTACTGCCAGAAAACAACATACATACTCTGAATCAGCTTGCGGTAGCGCTGGTGACCGTTTACATCCGGATGCTCTTGGGCAGATTGGAACTGATACATTGCAAACTGTCTGCTCAACATCACAGGGCGGTGAAAACGATAACGTTTTGTTTAATGTCGGCCACCCTGTCTGGCAAGCGCACCCGCGCTGGCCCGCTGAACGCCCCCTCATCGCGCCGCTACGTCCGCCGTGCGGGGGGTCGAAGGAGGAGGAGGAGGAGGAGGATGAGCGAGCCTCGGGGGGGGCGGTGCCGCCACCTCCGCGCCCGCGCGCGCCCCACGCGCGAAGGGCCCTCGCGCCTGCCTCACCGGGCGCCCGCGCGATCAGCGTGCGCGGCCCGCGACGGCTCCGCGGGCCCCGCGCGCCCTCTCCCTCCGCGCTGCGTGCTCAGCGGCCGTGGCCGAGGCAGCGCGCCGAGCGCGGCAGGGAGCGTCGCGTCTGCCCGCCAGCGGCTCGATGGACACCGCGATCTTGCCAGTGATGGCGGGCGCCAGCTTCTTGCTCAGCCTGGCGATGGCCAGCTCGCCCTTGGCTGAAGCGCGGCCGCAGGGGGCTGAGAAGCTGGCCGTCCTCACGGAGCCCACAGCGCCACAGGCTGCACGCGCCACGTTCGGCATCTCGCGCGCCAGGTCAGCCTCGCGCTGGGGCCGCAGCTGCACGAGCATGTGCGCGGCCAGGCAGTCACACCTGAGCCGCTCGTTGTGCTGCAGCGCGGCGGCAATGATCGAGCCAGGGCACTCGCTCGTGCGCTCGACCCATCTGCAGCGGCTGCACCATCGCTTGCCAGGGAGCCCTCGCCAGTCGCAGGAGAGCTGCACCGCCTCCAGCGCAGGGCGGTTCGGCTTGACCACGCGGCGCGCGGTGTCCCTGCCGTCCATGACACCGACCACCGCCGAGAATCACATGCCGACACCCTCGACCAGCTTGTCGGCCATGTCGAGGCGACGTCGATCAGCATGGCGAATGCGTCCAGCAGCCGCTGCCGACTTCGCCGCTCTGTCAGCGTAACTGTTGCCCAGCCAGTCCCTGCGCGTGATCTTGCCTTGGCCCACGGCCCCCGGGGTCTGGTGAGCGGGCACTTTCCTGACCAGCAGCCCCTCGCCCCCCAGGCTTGCGAACTCGCCCAGCAGCCTCCAGATCTCTCTCCAGAGGCGGGCCCACGCCGCGCCATGCGCGGTGGTGCGCCTGGGGCCGAGCTCCAGGAGGCCGCGGCGCACGAAGCCGCCGTCCACGACCACGGTGACGGGCGGCATGGCGAGCCTGAGGGCCATGATGAGCGCCATGAGTTCGTCGCCGTTGATGCCCACGTGAGGCTCGCGCAGCATGCCTGACGCCCCGCGCGCGAAGATGTCCGCATTCTGCTTGAGCGCGACGACGGCCCAGGCAACGCTGGCGCACCTCTCGTAGTCGCCCTCGAACTGCGAGCCGTCGAGGAACAGCTCGCATGACGGAAGATGCCCGTCACGCTCGCCCAGCCAGCAGATGTGGAGCGATGGGCTCGGCTTCGCGATCCCCGTCGGGGAAAGCCACAATACGCGCTCCAGCAGGCGCTTCACCTCGGGCAGGTCGGCCTTGGCCAGCAGCGCGCTCATCTTGCCGGGCAGGCGCAGCTCGGGCGGCCACCCAGCGCCGCTGCAGTGCCTGTGGAGGGGGGCTCCGATCTCGCCACACAGCAAGCAAGAGTCGTCCACGGCCATGCCCTGCTCGTACTTGCGGCTCTGACACCACTGCCCGTTGGCCACCACCGAGGACAGGTATGCGCGCTCCTTGGGCGTGAGCCTGAGAGCGTGGACTGCCTGCGAGCATCCATAGGATTCGGCCCATGGCCCATCCGCACCGATGGGACATCCTGAATACATGCCGATGTTGACTCCAGTCCAGCAGGCGCAGCCCTCCTTCCAGCATTCGACGCACCTCCGCGAGGAAGCCGCACACGAGTGTCCAGCCCACCTCGCCGAGGCCCAGTTTCGCCGCAAACCTGGGGCCCCAGCCTCCCCGCGACCTCCTCCGAAACAGTCGCAGTCCTGCCGGGCCTGCCGCACGTGCGCGACTCCTCCGAAGGCGGCCGCGCAATTGGCGAAGCGGCTGCGTGCTTTCCGCTCGATGCCGATGAGCTCTGTGCAGCGGGCTCAGAAGCCAGCTCAGGGCAGGCCGCCGCTGCCATCGGCGGCGCAGGCGCCGCGGCGGCGGCCCCGCAAGCAGCAGCAGCAGCGCGCCTGCCAGGCGCCGCGCCGAACTCCTCCTCCGCCTCGACCATGGAGTGCGAGTGCCGTACCACCTGTTCCCTCCACTGCTGCAAGTTGGACTGGGCCAGCCTGCGCACGTTGGCGTGGTAGTTGGCCCGAATGCGCCGCCGTGCTGACCAGGCCGCCTCGCAGAAGTCCTGCGCCACCCTGAGCCTGACCATGCCCAGGTTGTCGACGCCGAATGCACTCGCAGCCTCACTGACGAGCGGCGCCCACGTTCCGTGCATCAGCAGGTCGGCGCCGTAAGATACACACAGGCGCAGCCCATGCGCTCTGTCACCATCTTCGTCAAGCACCGAGACATCCTGGAGCCAGAACGTTGTGCAGGCCCTCAATCTTTTCTCGAGCAGCACAGCGGCCGTCGCTGATGCCGCTCACCGCTGCACCATGCCCAACAGAGGGCAAGACGCCAGACGTCCGTGGCCTGGCCGCATGAGAGCGCCCAGCGCACCGCAGAAGCGCCTTCTGCTTGGGCTCGCGAAAGCGCGCCCGCTTGAGCCTGTCCTATTGCGCCCCATCGCGCCCCCGAGGATACCGCGAGATCGCGGCCATGGTAACGCATGCGTCGTTGGCCCGGGACCCGGAGCATCCGTGCAAACCCCTGAACATGGAGGGCCGCAAGACGAGCGACCTCCAAGTGACCAAACATATTATGCTGCAGCGCCAGACCAGGAGGGCGCGCGGCATCGCAGGAAACCCTGGCAGCAACGGCGATCATGCGCGGCCCTCGCGGGTCGTCACCAGCCCAAGAGAGAGCGACATGGTCGACCATGTCGCGTGGGCGCGCCGCCGTGGCAATCTAAGGTTTCAACATGATGCTCAGCGTCAGCAGCGTCAACGGCAACGCGGTGGCATGGGCATCCAGCCAAGGTGCCCTGGCAGATGCGGCGAGCCTTAGAACGCGCGCTATAGGCATGCACTCTCCGCAACTGCTCGTGCAGAAGAACCAACATGCCAGCTAGCCTCACGGGGTGCCGATTCGCCCCGCACTCCTCAAGAATAGCTGACTGACGCACCATCTCGTAGCACCCCAGCGTATCCAGCAATCCAGTCAAGGCGCGCCCCCCCGCCAGCTACGCAATTGCTTTCCCCTGAACCAAATCCAACGCAGCGTCTGCGGGAGAACGTCCACCGATATGGCCCCAGAACTCCTCGCTGTCATGGCCCCCCTCCCACTGAGCAGACAAAAAACATCTGGCGCGTCGCCGTGCACGGCTCAGGGCGTTGAGAATAGCAATGGGCCGCTTTCCTCCGCCAGGTCTGAGAAGCCCCAACAGCGTCGCGACGGATCGAGCCCCGGGCCGCACCAACAGCTGCCCGCACACACACACACACATTTTTATATATATATATATATATATATATATATATATATACATATACATATATGCATATACCATATATATATGTGTGATAGGCACGCATAGAACGCAGGCCATGGCGAGGAGAGAAACATCCGAAGGGTGATCGAGCGCACGCGGCGCTATCTCCACCTGGCCCACGCGTGTTTTCCAACTGAACGACCGAAGAGAACTGCGCACATCGCTGCCGCGCAACGGAGGTAACTGGCCCCACTCAGCAGCATCAGGGGGTCGCTCAGCGGGTGGCTCCGCACGCGTCTGCCAGGAACGATTCAAATTGGCAGGCTTCCCATCGGCGAGCTGGCGCGCGCGCTGATCGCCAGCGCCAGAATCAACAACTTCCGGCAATGCCGATGGCTTGGAGACCGCGCGGGCCCGACTGCCCCCTCCAGCGAAAGAAGCCCCGGCCCAAGCCTTCCAAGATGCTGTGACTTTCAACTCGCGTCGCCGTTGTATCGCCTCAGCTTTAGCCAGCGCCTTGCCCGCCGGCTGCTCGAAGTTAGCATCGGCATAGGAGGGCCCGCGCAGCGTGCACCTTTGCGCGCAGCTGAACCGCCACTGGAAAACGCGGCCACTTTTCCGCACCTCCCACGGCCGCAAGCCCCAGTCGAGGTGCCAGCTGACGCGCAACAAAGAAGAAGTCAATGGCACGTCCAGGGAGCGACCGCAGACGCGTGGGCAACGACGAGGCAGTAGCAATGCCGCTGGCGGAGTGGAGCCACGCAAGCGAGCCCGTCTGCTTCAGTTCCACGTTGAAGCCGGCTCCCGCGATCCACGGCATCTGCGTTGCATCCAACACCTTCAGATACTGATGCAATTTACAATGCAGCCATATTCTCAGGGGATGGGAGTCCGCCCGCTCTAAGGTACCCAGAAATCATCGCGAATCCGCGCTTGCCGCCACAGCAGACGAGCGCCGCAATCATGCGCCCAGGCCCACGGGCAGATCCACGCAGCGCGGGCAGCGCCGTCACCAACGCCCAACGCGGCGCCAGCGCTGCGACGCCGCCTTGGCTGCCCGCGCCCTGGCCAGGCAGAGCAGGCTCCGAGGTGCCGTGGGAGCCCTCCGCCAAAACGTCCTGCTGCGCCTTCG